TGGGAGTAGTTTGGGTGACAAATGGGAGACTCTCGTTGATGACTTGGGAGAACTTCTCTCAAATGCTCTCCCGGCGCCGGGAGAACATCAAAATTCTCCCAAATTCTCCCAAATTTTCGCTCACGCTGGGAGAAGAATTTTGTTCTGGCAGGGTGCACGGGGCAGCGGTCGATGCGTTTATAATTGAACCAGAGTCCAGAATCGGTCGTGGCGTGTGTTTTGCGGTGTCATAGAGTGGGCGGTTTTATGTTTTTGGCCTGTACATGACGAAAACACACTCGACGATGGGTGTATTTGTTTGCGTTTCGCGCACTGCATTACAGTAGAGTGAGTGGAGCCCGGACGCGGAAAGGATCGGAGACAGGAGAGGATGACCTGGTACTACATTACGAGGTACTTGTACTCCAGGCAGTGACGGCGTGGGGGCGGGGCGACGGGCTCTCCGGTGCGGGGATGATCGAGAGGGACCAGGTTGCCGACGGTTCGGACGAGAGCGTGGGCTTCAGCGAGTGGGGCTCGTGAGACGGACGCGAGAGCGACCAATGCGGCACGAGCAGCAGCCAGAGTGGACGGAAGGTACCGGGCATAGGTGGACACGTGGCAGTTGCAGGGGCGAGGCACGACACAAAGAGAAGTAGAATGTGCAGGCACTTCTGCAACAGTGGGAAGCAGTGCAGCGCGCGAAGTATCAGCATGGACAGGATTGAGTATGGAGCGGGGAGTGGAACGGGGTTGGGCAGCAGCGACAGTCGTCCAAGTCTGCGTGGGCGGGAGCGACAGGAAGGAAAGAGGGGGACCTTCGGTGGGGGTGACCTGAGCGGCTTCAGAAGCGCAAGAGGAGAGGCCGTGCTTTCGCGCGAAGTGTCAACGCTGCTCTCGCACGAGTTGCTGGTGCCGAGCGCGGGAGGTGGGGCCAGTGCCGCCGGCGCCACGCAACGACCGAGCGGCGTTGAGAGGTGAAGTTGTTGTCTTCTTCATGTGTCTGTGTATCCCAGGTAATTACAGTCTTATGTTTATCATGAGTTAGTAAATTTATTCAAAATTCTATCATGGGGCTGTAATGTACAAGGACAACAGTTGGTGGTCTAAATAAGGATAAGCCGTCCATGCTCGACACAGATCGAGTAGCGTTCGTGTAGTATAATGGTTAATATAGCCGCTGTATATTTCGCTGTCACCGAAGAGATCCGGGTTCAATTCCCGGCACGAGCTAACGATGATTCTTTTTGCCTCGTCTCAGCATTGCAATTAGGTTTAACTTGCATTGGTGTGATGCTACACCATGTGCCGTGCCATGCGTGCAATGTTTTTAAAAAGTAGGGCTTTAATTAAAATACAGTTCACAAAAAAAAGTGACCCTCGATCGACATATCATAAACGACTCGAGCAGTGAACTTCATTTCAGATGTTGGGCTAGCGAGCTTTTGGCCGACACGGAGATTCTAACCGGTAAGTGGAACAAGATGTCATGCATGATCTCCCAACTCGGGGAAGCGGCTATCGATGTAATGATCGCTTGCGAAGAAAAGCTTTTGCAGGACAGACGCGGGCGTGCCATGATGTGGGTCACTCTTGGCTTCAAAAGTTTCGTAGCCTTTGAGGGGAACTATGCTGGAACACGTTTCGTTCACTGTCCCCCACACATCACTGCCATACGATGCATTAGTCCACACATACCGAGCAACCCCATGACATCCATGATAGCTTCGGGACTTTCCACGTAGGTCAGCAACTTTTCCTCTGTTCCAGCCTTTTTCACACTTCCACCTGGGCCAGAGGCACTGTAGATGAATCTTGCCGCTGCCGTAAGCGCATCCATTGGCGTATCTGTGGAAGCAGCCGCTGCGTATACATGCTCTAGATTCTCTTGTATCTCTGCCACACCATCTTTTCCCTCTCCATCATCTCCGGGAGTCGCGGTGAGAAGTGGACCAGAAGCAAGCGCCACGGCGTCTCTCAACAATACTGGATTTGCCACTTGCCCCTTTGCAAACACGTACACAAGTGCAAACTTCTCAACCCTTGTCCATTCTGATGCTTCATCACGGAAAAAAACTTCATGAACAGCGAACGTAAGCGCCCTCTTCACCTCTATATCAGTCATGTGTTGGTCAAACAATAGTGTGCATCCAAATTGTCTTTGTCTCCATTGCTCGATTTCACGTAAAGTTTTTGGAACATACTTGAGACTCTTCGTTTCAAGGGACATAGCCCTGGAGACATGCGGGGTGAGCCCAGCAAATGCCGCAGCGTTTCGCAACTGCGCCTGAATGCGCCGCAATGGTTTCGCCCCCTCGCCGCTCCTCACGATACGCACCTTCTCTTGGCCGACTGGGTCGCTTCCTTCCCCGCCGACAGTGTCCATGACGTCAAACGGCAGATCGCGGGAACCGAGGAACTCTTTTGCGAACGGGGCAAGCCCTTCTTCCAAAGGCATGTCGAGGACATCCATGATAAAGTTCAACCAGGCCATGAAAGCTACCATGCCGGCAACTTGCGTATACGCCGCCGGGCCATACTTGCTGAGAAAGGTTTTCCTCGTGTGTGCTGTGAGAGTGCCTGGAAAAGTGCATACTTCACGAATGAGACTGAGCAACTCATGGTCGCCGTCCTCCTCTCTGGCTCCGACAATCCTGCCAGCACGAGCGCACTGAGCGAAGAGGGGCCCGTTCAAGACGTCGCCCATGTTTGCTGTGTGAGCTGTACAAAACGCGCAACCATGGGTCACGGAAGCTTCGACGAGGAGAAGTCTGCGCTGGCGCGGATTGATTCGAAGCTTGTGGAAGTCACATTCTGGAATGCAAAGGCAAGGACGGAAAACAGTGGTGTACAGGGCGATGGTTGCTGGGGAGAGATGGGCAACGGAAGCGAAATCCGTGAGGTGTGACCCGATGAGGCGGGAGCCAAGGGCGAGGAAGGTGCCGTAGTGATCACGACAGGCGGATTCGGAAAGGCCGTGGGGGGAGACTCGGTCGTAGATGGTGGACATGGCGAGTGGGAGGGTGGAACGATGGGGGAGGTGATTGGATGAGTGGGCAGTGACGGCGAAAAAGTGTTGGGCAGAAGGGTGGGGTGCGGTAAGGATGTAGCGGGAAGAGGGACGCACAAGGCGATACTTTAATTCAGTGATATCGAGAATCGTGTTGAAGATGATCTTAACAGAGAGGTTTTACGGTGTTAAAGAAGTCCTGAGGAGGGAATCCTGCTTTTGCGTTATGTATCGAGTTTCGAAGGCGTTTGCCTCGTTTGGCACGGTCCCAAATCCCTTGCCGGTATGATAAACACAAATTATGGCTCATTCCTGAGAACAGGAGAAGCGGGGAGAGGCGGGATGGGGCTGGGCTCTGGGCGGCCTAGGCCTAATTGAAGGACGCGCAGCAACACAACAGGCATGCCAGTCGACTACCGTAACGGCCGAGGCAGTCGCGAGATCCCTCGCCCCGAGACAAAGTCTGAGCTCAGGTTCCAATCAGAACGGCGCTCCCCGCGTGGCCTCACTCTCTATGACGTGATTTAACCATCCTGTCAGATGGTGAACTCATTTTTCCGGGACAATTGGCCGGATGGCAGGCACCAATACATTGCCAATACAGGTACTGTACTCTCAAATACAGATTTGCGACACCGCTTTCTAATTAACATTGCCCCAACCACAACTTGGCAAAGGCTCGTACTGTACGAAGCGAGCAGTACCCAAGGGTACAGTGTGTCGAATACAAGTGTGAATTTATTATTCAAATGCTAGGGTCGAATACAAAGCCTGCGAAACAATACTTCTACTGTCGTGTCTACCCGACCGGGGCTTGTCCTCATACGGTATGAGGACAGCTTTTTTTTTGCAAAAATATATAAATTAAATTGAACATTCCAAAAGCTACCTTGAGCACTATTTCCTTAACATGCTTGTTTTCGGCAATAGCATCTTGCAAAACACCAGGATAGCAGCATTGAATACGCAGAAAGCTTAAGAATGTAATTTAAATTGAGTACCCAGTTGCCTTTTCAAACTGGCGTTTTTGGTTTCGAAGTTATTTTCGAAGTTATTTTACAACCGGTTTCAAGGTGATTTAAAAAAGTTTCTTTTCCAGACATATGTAAAAACAAACAGGAAGAACAAGCAATTCTCACAAAGTTCTTTCTGGCCCCAAGTCAGATGTCAACTACAGTAGCACGGGTATATTTTCTTTCTTGTCGAGGAGGCGGAAGTCAAAGAATAAAATAGGTCGAATAATGTCCTTATGAGGACAATGGTCGATAGACACTAGCTACAGAACTAAATCACACTAGAGCCGGGAATGGATTATCGAGCAGCCAACCAATCCTTCACGCTGAAAGAAAACGCACTCTGTGGCTACGTGCGAAACACCCACTACAGTAATAATGCTGTACAGTACGTAAACTTTAGGGCCCAACTGCCAGCAGTTGGGCCCTAAAGTTTACGTACTGTAACTGCCAGCAGTTGGCCCCCTAAAGTTTACGTACTGTACTGTAGGGTGGCACCACCCTCCGAACAAGAGATACTGTACCTCCCGAAGATGTCACGTGGACACGTGTCGTCGCTTTGTCTGGCACTGTCAAGGACGGATGTTCTGAGGTCATGAATTACAGTATCCAATATGTGTACAGCATAGGAGAATGTGCTGCGTTGTACCGAATTTCGGAGCGATACAGTACAGACGTGCAGTGCTGTAGAGCAAGGGAAGGTTGCCAGCCAGCCTTTTACACGTGGTTGAACTGTTCCGTGTACCCGTGTAAATACTTCGGTTCGTCCCTGGATTCGCACCAGCTCCCGACAGGACGGTGACATCAATCATTTTTGGTAGACCTTCCCCACGACGAGCACGCCCTCTCGTTTAAAGCAACAGGTACCCAGTGGCAATACCGTCTTATTGCGCCAGGAACTCAAACGCACTAATTCTAACTCCAGTGGCTCTCGCCTTTCATTTCCGTGGCTCTCGCCTTTCATTTCCATTGCACAGCCTTCTTCACACTTGCGAAACATGGGCGACCAGCAAGGCTACTATCCATGGCAAGGGCCCGATGACCCATCCAAGAGCCGCTTGAAAGTTCTCAACAGTTTTACTGGCCAGAAAGAGCCATTTGTACCACGCGATGGCGGCAATCGGGTCTCTTGGTATATATGCGGCCCTACTGTTTATGACTCTGCTCATGTCGGGCATGCCTCCAATTACGTCCGCTTTGATGTTGTTCGACGTATCTTGAGTGATTATTTTGGTTACGACCTTGTCGTTCAAATGAATGTCACGGACATTGATGACAAGATTATCAAAAGAGCAACCGAGCGCAACCTATCTTTTGAAGTATTAGCACATGAATTTGAAACCGAGTTCATGGAGGACATGGATAGCCTCAACGTCAAGCGACCGGATTTTCTCACACGCGTCTCTGAGTACATTCCCGAAGTAATTGATTACATTAGGCAAATCATCCAAAATGGCTTCGCCTACGAAAGCGCAGGATCAGTTTACTTTGACACGGGTGCCTTCACTGATGCAGGACACAACTACGGAAAACTTGAACCTGGCTCAGTCGGCAATCAATCGCTTATCGCAGAGGGTGAGGGAGCACTCACAGCTGCAGACGCCTGCATTAGATCTCAGAAGAAGGCTCCAGGTGACTTTGTTCTTTGGAAGAAGAGCAAGAAGGGTGAGCCCTCGTGGGAATCGCCCTGGGGGCCAGGCCGTCCGGGGTGGCACATCGAGTGCTCAGCCATGGCCTCCAACGTCTTGGGACCTATAATTGATATCCACGCTGGAGGTGTCGATTTACGTTTTCCGCATCACTCAAACGAAGTAGCTCAAGCGGAAGCGTATCACAGCTCGCACAATTGGGTCAACTACTTTCTTCACGCCGGACATTTACACATTGAGGGGCTAAAGATGTCCAAGTCGTTGAAAAACTTCATTACCATTCGTAATTGCTTGCAACGATATAACGCTCGCCAGATGCGCCTTGCCTTCCTATGCCATCGCTACGACGCCCCCATGATCTATGCTGAACACGCCATGGAGGAGGCCGTCAGTGTAGATAGGACCTTCATTGACTTCTTCGGTACTTTGAAGGCAACAATACGCGAGGTTGAACGCAAGGACCCTGTTGCAAGGGTGATGAGGCCACTAGACATGGAAAGAGAACTTAGCACAGAACTAGAGCGTGCCCAGGAAACGATTCATAATAGCCTGGCCGACAACTTCGACACACCGAGCGCGCTCCGTGAAATCCAAAATCTGGTAAGGTCCACAAACGCATACATGGCACATAGAGGCACCGAGAGTAATAATCTTCTGTTGGAAGGGATTGGAGGTTATATCTCGAAGATGTTGAGCGTGTTTGGGTTGTCACATGACAATGCAGCAAGCAGTAATTTGCGGTACGGGAGCAAGGCCGAGGACGAATCTAGCGACAGCACTCTGGCTAACGTTTTGGATGCGTTTTGCCAATTTAGAGATACGGTAAGGAGTGAAGCTAGGAAGGAGAATTCAGCTGGGATGCGAAAGATCTTGTCACTCAGTGATAGCGTGCGAGACGACGACTTGCCGAAACTTGGAGTGCGGCTGGAAGATCGAGGGGTGGATCAACCGGCGATGTGGAAATTGGAAGAGGCAGAAACGCTAGTTATGGAAATTCAAAGGAAACGAGAAGCAGAGGCATCGAGGAGGGAAGAGAAAGAGAGGAAGAGGTTGGCGAGAGAAGCGAAACTTAGGGAAGATTTAGAAAAGGGCCGACTGTCGCCGGAGGTGTTGTTCAAGGAGAGTAAGGAATATGCTGGCAAGTATAGGGCGTTCGATGAGCAAGGAATGCCGACAATGGACGCTAACGGCGAAGGGCTGAGCAAATCTGCACTGAAATCTCTTGCAAAAGCACGCACCAGACAAGAAAAATTGCATGCCAAGTTTCTGGCTGCGAACGGATCACAACCAACATAGGAGTGAGTGGGGCGGGGCTACCGGGCTTAGGAATGTACACGCCGAGGGCATGTGCATGTCCATCTTCAGGGTGGAGCGTGAGCTTCGTAAACAATGCCAAACTAATTTAGCATCGAATGACAGGTAGTCCACTGTCCGTAAAACGGACGTGTGAATATGTGTCTTTTCATTCCCATGTGTGTAACGTCACAACTCTGTTCTCGGGAGATTGTTGCCAATCCCATGCACAAAGAAGGATTCGGTGTAGAGAAAAAGGTTTCTTGGCAAACTGAAGTGATTACGGTACAAGCCTGTGCAATACGATACATGAATGTGGAGCTGATCTCTCTGGTGATTTGACATGTCGATCATGCTCTGGTGATTTAACGTGTCGATCATGCTCTGGTGATTTGACATGCCGATTATGCTCTGGTGGATTTGCAGCGCAACGACTCACATTTCCAAAAAATCGGCTTTTCAGGTCATCAAAGATTTGGGATCTCACGCATACTGTACCCTAGAAGACACAGGCCCTGACATAGCCCTACGCAAAAACGGCTTGCACCAGAAAGGTAAAAGTAAAGGAAAGGACCCCGAACCACAAGCACACCAGATCTGCAATCCCTCTATCTGTATCATCTCTTCGTTTGCGTTTCAAGATCTTCCACTCATGGCCTTTCTCAAAACGCTATCCCAGCCCAAGTTGCACGCCAGTATCAAAAGCTGGGCTCTTGGCTATGCACGCGCTCTTCCAAACCTTCGCACCATGACCCCACCAACTCTCTCTACCATGTCAAAGCGTTTTCAGCACAGTGAGACTGCGCACTTATCCGCTTTGTCTCAGGAGAAGATAGACCTTGAGAGCAAGTATGGTGTCAGGAACTATCATCCGCTACCTGTCGTTCTATCTCGAGGGTTAGGGACTCGCGTGTGGGATGTCGAAGGTCGCGAGTACCTCGATTTCTTAGCTGCCTATTCGGCTGTCAACCAGGGTCATTGTCACCCACACATTCTAGCCGCTCTGGCGTCGCAGGCGGCGAAGCTAACACTTACTTCCAGGGCATTTTATAATGACCAACTGGGCCATTTCGAAGAGCGTCTGTGTAACACGTTCGGGTTTGATCGCTGTTTGCCTATGAATTCTGGTGTCGAGGCATGCGAGTCTGCCGTTAAGTTTGCTCGCCGCTGGGGATATGAAGTCAAGCGTATCGCTGATGGTCGAGCTCGAGTGGTGTTTGCGAGAGGCAACTTTTGGGGGCGTTCAGTAGCGGCTATTTCTTCTTCCACTGACCCAGTTTGCCGAAACGGTTTCGGACCCTTTGTTCCCGGCTTCGATCTCGTGGACTATGATAATCTCGAAGAGCTGGAAAAAGCAACATCCCATCCCGACGTGTGCGCATTTATGGTGGAACCCATACAGGGCGAGGCTGGTATTATAGTTCCTCAGGAGGGTTACCTGGCAAAGGCGAAAGAGATTTGCGAGAAAAACCGCGTCCTGCTCATCGTAGATGAGGTACAGACAGGGCTTGGCCGGACAGGTCGACTTCTTTGTAGCGGCCATGACAACGTGAAGCCTGACATGGTTGTCTTGGGAAAAGCGTTGAGCGGTGGGGTATTCCCGGTTTCGGCAGTACTTGGTAGTGATGAGGTGATGACGTTGATTGGACCAGGTGAACATGGGTCTACTTATGGTGGAAATCCTCTTGCATGCGCTGTAGCAATGGCTGCGTTGGATGTGATTGAGAATGAGGGTCTGTGCGAAAATGCGGAGAAGATGGGGCATGCTCTCCGTGACGGTCTCTTCCAGAATCGACGCACAACGCGGAAAATCCTGTCTGATGTACGAGGGAAAGGACTGATGAATGCCCTTCAGATTAAGGATGTGTATGGGGACGGGTCGACGGCATGGCAGGTTTGTCTTGAGATGGCCAAGAATGGGGTCCTGGCAAAGCCAACGCATGGAGACATCATTCGTCTGGCGCCTCCGCTGGTGATTACGAAAGAAGAAGTCAAGCAGGCGTGTGTCGTCATCCGCGAGGCGTTACGAGTCGTTAGCTCGAATCATGAACATCAACAGCAAGCAGTTACGGAATAAATACGCTGTAGGTAGAAATTTCTCTGACTTGTTGTCCTAATGGGTGAACTGCATCGATGCCGTCAAGTAGTCTCAGTTCCGGGACGTAGCGCTCTGACGCTTCTGGTGCATACCTGCAACTGGGGATCGATAGTGTAGTGGGAAAGTGTCTACGAGCAAAAAGGGAGTTGGTACCCTTGTATCGAAACTTATACTGTACAGAAAACAGTATTGTGGAAAAGAAGCGATTCCCTGCAGATGGGGTCAAGGTATGGATTTAAAGTGAAAAACATAATGCATGTCAATAAACAACCTTCATACAGAGTAAAGTCTCGATATGGTGAACCGAAATGTGGCGCTTCCGAGCAACCTACTGAGTTCGCCTTATCGGGCCAGTTCACAGTGGCGGAACTGCTCATGTACACGTGTAGCCGTTGTACAGGTACAGCAAGGCACATAACGTCACTTCCTCTGACACTGTGTATCAACGGGCGACGTCGACGGGCGCAATCGGACATCCAGAGCTCTTCCCGTTGTGATTCAGCCTCCCTTTCTTTTCATTCAGCCGCGTACGGAGACTTCAACGTATGAATCTGAAGCAAGGACGTATTGATAGCTTCTGTATTCGTTGATGGTTCGTTTCTAGTGCGCATTTCGGCCTCGATAAAGTGAACTCTGGGTTTTTCATATTTTTTATGTTCATGGTATCGCGTAGTTCGTTCTATAGAGTCTGGTTCACCTTAGAAATACAAAAACGTCGATTCTGGGCCAAAAAAGCGGGGTGGCGCCTCCCTCATAGTCCTTCGGTTCACGGTACCGAGACAGTTCATCATATCCGGTACGCAGCTTATCGAGACTTTACTCTGTACACGTGTGAAGCATTTCTTGTGAATTACGGACACGTGTGATTTACATACACTTGTGATGTATGTCTAGAACATGTTCACCACTTGCCACTTGGCAGCCATGAACAAAAATACGGAGGCGTAAATGGCCACTTTGCACTGCAAAACTTGAAAGAGACGCAGAACAGTTAAATGGGCACACTTCGAATCTGAATGAGTCAATTGGCATCTAGAACGCATCTAGAACGCTTCCTCCCTCAAGGTAAGATGTCCCTCAAGGTAAGATGTCAAAGGGGCGATGATGAAGGGTGCCTCAGACAGCGTGAGGCTTCATGTCATCCAGACGCTCCAGTGTCCCGTACAGTGTTCCGTAGCCTAACCGATTCTAAAGCGTATCGAAAGGTGTCGTTTAGCCCCGTCCAACTGTATTGCACAGCTCCCTTACGAATTGCACAGTGTATAGAACAGCATAATGATGAAGACATTGACGTCACCAGCATCGCTCTCTCATGCCTGATGTTGCTTTGTCGGTTGGGTACTGGGTATTAACATTAATAGGGTGGGTTGTTGAAGGGGCTGCTGCAATACAGTACAGTACCCTTAAGGGTACCTTCAAGGTACAGTATTTACAGTTTCTCTTTCAAACCCCGAGTTGCAGCAGGGCCCGTCTACACGTCGTGCTGACCAATTCTGAACCAGCATTGATTTCAAAAACCAAAAGACGTCATCGGTCGAAGATGTGCTGCGGCACCGCTACACCACTACGGTACAGTACCAGTGTGCGACGGGTATCAAAGGGCCCGCGTCTCCCTAACAGGTGGTCAGACAACCTTTCCGACAAATTCTGGTCCCCCAAACTGCAACCAGCAACTCTCAACTTGCCAATCCTTGGCATTGCCGTGCTTTGCCTTCATCCCAATGACTCTCGTTCCTCTCATCAACGCCGTGGCGGCAATCCTCTTAATTCCTGCTGTCTTTGCGGCCCCATCATGGAATCAGATTCCTGTCAAGGAGGCCTACGTGCCACGGCCGGAAGCAGCTTTCACGCAGTGTGGAAATGGCAAGCTCTGCCTTCTAGGCGGGCGCGGTGTCGATCCCGTCTCCATTCTGGACACAAAAACATTGTCTTGGTCGAGCGGAAAGGTTCCCCCCATGGAGATCCACCATTTCCAAGCTTTTCAGGGCCCGGACAAATGTGCTTGGGTTGTAGGAGCATGGACAGGTCCATTTCCTAAAGAGGAGACTGTCGACAAAATTCTCATCTACTGTCCAGACTTAGATGAATGGTCTTCTGGTCCACCCATCAACAGGCCGCGCGGCGCGGGAGGCGCTTTCTTGCTTGATGGTTCTGTTTATCTCGTGTCTGGTAATGTAGGTGGTCACAATGCAGGTGCCAATCTCGTTGACTGGTTTGATAAACTTGACTTGGAGACGGGAACATGGTCCACACTGCCACCTATCCCTAATCGTACGTTCCACTTGAACTCCTCCTTTCATGCTCATCCCGCAAGTCCCATGGACAATCCACACAAATCAACATTAACATATCTTATACATAACTTCTTTTCTTCTTCTTTTTCTTTCCTTCTCTCCTTCCCCGAATTCTTGTTACTCGGAAATATCACTCCACAACAGCTCGAGACCATTTCCATGCCGTCGTTCTCAATAATAAGCTATACGTCGCTGCGGGACGTGATTCTACGGGAAAAGAACCTGAGTTTTTCGACGATGTTGAGGAGAAGGTTGATATCTTCGACTTCGACTCTCAAGAATGGTCCACCGGAGAGGACTTTCCGAGGCCTAGAGGAGGAACCTTTGCAACAGCATTCGGCGACACCGTTTTCATCCTCGGAGGTGAGGGGGAAAATCGCGCTTGGGTTGAGGTAGATGTCCTTGATGGGTCATCATTCAAACCGGGTGAAGATATGCCAACTCCGCGTCATGGTGCCGGTGCAGTTTCTTGCAACGGAGCCATATGGGTAGCAGGTGGCACAACAGTACAGGGAGGTGGAACCGAGGCCTCGGACACAATTGCGTATTTTGATGGTGACGAGGTCCCAACCTGCGGGTCATCAGAATCAAATTCACCGCCGCCCAGCCCTGTTTCAAGCAAACCGACCCCAACCAGTGAGCCATCGAGTAAGTCATTCTCACATTATGTAACAGAAGCATCACTGAAACATGCTCTTGCATGAGGCATGAAGTTGCCCTTGCGTCGAAGCACGTGAAGAACTGCTCCGTGCGATGGCGGTGCGAGGCCCTATCTGACCAAGTTCTCTTTACTCTTACGTTCTGTATCGTTTTATGTTTTCATTGAATTATCTTCTCATCCCCACTACTTCAAATATGCCCACCGCTTTTCAGCAGCAGTGGCTTCTCAAAATCCACCCACTCCAACGGAGGATGGTGATAGCGACGCACTTCCATCAGAGCAAACTCCTGGATCCAATGCAGAAGAGGCTCAGGGCAGCAGCACGCCTTCGCCTGGAGTAAGCGATAATAGTGAAGGTACGCTCTCAGAAACACGCAGCCCGGCACACATGGCACTTGCTAGAAATGTTTTCATCTGTGATGGTTCTCTACCGACCCATCTACAGTCTTCGACTCAAACAAATTCATATTTTACTAACCCTGACATCGCACACACTCAATACCCACTCTGCAATGATATCATGACTTGGCGGTGCGAACGACGCGACATATGAAGCAGATCCGGATGACACAGAACCTGTACCTTCTGAAGAGGATAGTGGGCCTGCCTGCTTCCCCTCTGATGCCGTTGTTGAGCTTCGCGATGGGAGGATGATCAAAATGGACCAGCTGAAAATCGGAGATGAAGTCAAGGTTGGTGCGACCGGTGAATACAGCGAGGTTTTCTTCTTTTCGCATCGCAATGGAGATCGGATTAATGAGTTCATTCGGATCGAGACGGAGAGTAACAGTATGACTGTTTCTCCCGGACACCTTGTCTACGCAAACGGAAAAGTTGCAACGGCATCAAGTGTGCGTGTGGGAGACAGTGTCTCTGCAAGTCAGGATACAGTGAATTCAGTCACTGTGGTAACCGTCCAAAGGATTAAGTCAAAGGGTTTGCACAACCCACATACATTCCACGGTGATATTGTTGTGAATGGCTTAGTTGCAACCACTTTCACATCAGCAGTGCATCCTTCCGTTGCTCGGCTTTTGCTGATTCCTTTCCATCTCTCCTACAAAATATTTGGGGCTCATATCTTTCAAGATCGTCTCAATGCAGAAGTGCTTCGCATTTTGCAGTATGGTTTCTGGCGAGAATACAACTGAGTTTGTGCAAGCGAGCGTTAGTACGGGGATATCATGTTTGAAAGGGGTATAGGCTGACTAATACATTAATCGGAGTCTTTGGCCGAATGAACCATTAGGACGTTGCTACGTCGTATTAGAAGTTCCTTCCCGCAACATTATTAACCTTAGATTGAAGCAAAAGTGATGTCCAGTAACGCCACGCCGTTGCTACACTTCGGGTGGCCTAGTCTCATTGATGACCGTCGTGTCGGTGATGTATAAAGGGACGTATGATGGAATTCTCATCTAAGCAGCTTATACACCTGGAGAAACGCCTGGGCCATAAAGTGAACACGAAGTCATCCAAAAGTTGTGTTGCGAACCTCATTCGAAATGCAGGTTGCGCTTTTGCTTTTCAGTCGGGAAAATCGCTTGGGCAGGGATACTGCCGTTGCTTAAAGTAACAAATATCTGTACTACATACAGAATGCACGGTTCTCCCGTGAATCGCGCTAACAAATCGGTGTGAAGGCGCAAATTGAAGAACAGCTGCCTTTGTCCTGGCAGCATGTTGCAGATGCGGTATATGAGGACGCCATTCCTGTAAGGATTTAGGCCAAACATTCTAAATGCAGTAATGGGAGCTCTACGATCATAAGCGCGGCCCTTGTCAACAGTCACAATGACTGTTGCGGTTGCGGCCGGTGTAGTTGTTCCAAAGCAGTCCTACCACTGCACACCGTCTGGGGCGGTAAGTGGAATATCAGTCGTCTTCTTCCTGCGGCATCGGGGAAGGATGAATACCGTTACAACAATAGCAACTGCAACAGCTACCAGAACACCCAAAAATATCTTCCACCAGTCCACACCGAGGCTGCCTTCTTCAAGAGATAGCCTGGCAAATACGGAATCAGACAAGGATTCCTCTGGACCGACTGCAATAGTCTTTCCCTCTGGGTAAGGATCTACATTTGCCCCAAACGCCGTGCCCCGCTGGAGCCCGGCATTGTAGTTGACAAGCTCTAGACTATCTGCTGGAATAAATTCGCCTTCGTTGCAAAGATCGTGACCTGATAGTCCGGCAAACCATGCTGGAGAGGGAGAGAGAGGCGCGATGATGCTTACAAGAGATGCCTCGTCCTCTACAGTTAGCTCCAGTTTAGTTACCTCATCGATGGGTACACCTTCTTCCACTGAGAATGAAGACACGACTCCGCTTTCCTTCAGTGCATTCAAACGTGTTGCAAGAAGTTCCGCCCGCCCCTTCTCCGCAACCTCAGCGACTTCATCCGTCAACTTATCTCCCTTGAGAAATAGATTGAATGACGAGCTGTGGGCCACGGCAATCACAAGGGGAATGCGAGCCTTGTCAGGAACGGTGGGGAGAGTACTTCGGGTGAAGCTCGTTTGAATAGACAGGACATACGACTGGCGCCCCTGGCATGCGCCGTCTGCACGAAACGAAATGCAGAAGAGAACCACCAAGAGAATTGGCGCAGATATCATGGATGTAGACTTATTCATTCTATCGCCAATGTGAGTTGCGGTGCCAGAAACTTCGCCACAAGCCTAGAGATTCCGGTAGTGCTTCCAGTGGGGCGATCTGATAGCTTGATGGGGCGAAACTGGCACGTATTTCTCCGTGTTTGCGATAAGCCCGGGAAAATCTTTCGTCCGCTACGATGTCGGCAGCCGTTGTTCAGAAAAGAAACTTTGGAGGGAGACTTGTGTGACGAGACGGGTTTGTGGGGCGACACTCAACTGGTTTGCAATGGCGACGGTGGGATTCACACCAATGAGTACGTTGTGTTACCCATGCTTCGCTACCCGGCACCGCACTGTCAAGGCAGGCAGGCAGTGCTTTCAAAGGGAAACGTGGCGCCTTCTGGTAGTCCAGTAAGGGTGTGTCGCTCCCTATTCCATCCCAGTGCTGCTCACCCACCTGAGTTACAGTACAGCATGGCAAATAGCCGTTTTAACTACTGAATTTTAAATACTGAAAATGGCACCCATAATAGTGGGTTCAGCAATATTTTGTTGAGAGCACAGCACCTCCCCTGGACGATTATCAAAAAAAAAATTGTTTTGTTAATTTAATTAACACACGCATCGCGAGAGAACGGGATCAATTTTCGGACATCTGTTGGAGTCAATAAAATGTCGCAGTAGCTCAGTGGCCAATCATTGACCACTAACCCGTTCATGGCGGTGTTTTGAAGCATTGGACAAGGTTTCAACGCAATTGAAGCAACGCAATTGGCCCAAATTCCATTCTCTTTGCGGTCTTGTCCTGGTTCGGAGGGGGTGTCAAGATGGAATGTAGTCATCAATAGAAATAATCACATTTATAGTCTTCATTCAAATATTCAAGTTTTTGAAGTTTCGCATGATCCTCACACTGAGTTTAACGTGATGATATTGTTGGGGTGAAAACGGGATACGTCGTCCCGTGTCTTACCCGTGTGTGTGTGTTTTTTGTGATGTGTCTGCCCTCGGCCGTACAGGACGGCCGAAAACCACTGTATTTATACTCTTTTTGCGCACGGTCTACAATTACTAACTTAAACTTCCAATTACTTACACCGGTCCCAACCACGTGTCACACAGCCCCCCACTTAGGCGGGGCCACGGGCCCCGGCCACTCAGATTTTGACTTTGATTTTGATTTTTTTTCTTCACACTCCAGCCTATATCAACACAGACCTGGGGCTTGGACCCCCCCTCCCTTCTTGTGGTATCTGCCGTCACTCTCCGTTCGCATTTCTCGCTCCATCCCAGCCTCGTTTTAGCTCTTCCGGCATCCTGCTTCCTGCGCTGCTTAGCTCTTGCGGCTCTTCCGCGTTGCCTTCTTGGGCCTCGTCGTAGCTTAGAACTCCTGTTTCCCACCAAATCGAGAGGCACGCAGGTGGGGTTTAAGTCCCCGTGTGCCCTCTTCGGCCCCCCTCATAGCGTAATACGATGGCAAGTACCAAGTAGACAGCGGCGAAAAGCACGGGAGGTAAGCGTCCGCGGAAACAGCTTGCTCTGACAGCTGCACAGTTCGCCAGCCGCGACTGCTTAATGTTCGAGCTCTCATCTCGCACAGATGTAACCAAGGTTTCCAAGACGGGCTCCATATTCCACATTTGGGTGGCCAGCGGGCATTGCTGTTACGCCGTAACAGAAAAAGAGTTCAAAAGCCTTCTAGGAGATCATATTAGCGCCCTTCTCCACCACAAGCAAGATGAAGAGGTTTCTCAAGAAGAGATATGGCGTCTTGGTCTCACAGAGTTGTTGTCGGACACAAACCAGTGCTGTATTATAGGCGACGGTGAGTGGAATATTGAGTCCATCTATCTCGACGTTGAAAACACGTACTATGGCGTCGACGCCGCAACCAACCTTCCTCACCGTATTTTGCTCTACACTCTAGCAATTTCCGGAACCGGGAATAGTACAACTCACAAGATTGTTGGCGATCTCTTCCAGTTTGGTGAGAGAAACCAAATTAGTGCCTTCTTAAGTATTGACCGTTTTTGCACCGATCAAAAGGGCAGGAGTCTGAAGATGATCCATGGTCGTTCCAGGGCGGTTAATCCTCGGACTCCGATCTACCGCGTGTCCACACACGGGACCGTGCGGTTCCGAGATAATAGTGACATGTGCATCTCCGCCGCCGTCTGCAACGGTCTCCAACTACTAGGGTCGCCGAACCTTGCCGTTAAGTACTGGAATCTTTTAGTCCGCAACAGGCTCCTCTTTGAGGGGACCGGCTCTCCGTCGCGTCGAATCCGAGATTTACATGACGCTGCAAAACACCTTAATCAAGATGAAGTCGCTCTCCGCGGGTCGGGTCTTCGTAGTCCATCTCTCGGAGTCCTCTTGAGGCTCGACCCGGGTGTCTATGTCGCGACTTTAGAAGGCTTGCCCCACATAATGCACAGCATCTGCGTCTCGACCATACATTCCATTGTACTTGATTGTATGGAGGGTTTTCCGCTTCGGCTCTGCGCCGGTGCGGTCAAAGCATGCGTTGGAGCCGACGGGATCTTCGTTGGCGTCTCCGAACTGCGCCAAGTTATCGTCGTCACCCCTTCCAAGAAGAAACGGAGCAGAATTGCACGCGTAAGCAGCCGCAGAGCACACAAGAAAGCCGCGATTCGGGGTTTGGGAAGTTCCATTCAGCATTAGAGGTCATTGGTGATTCCCATTGTCTCCATGACCCACTCTTTATCTATTCGTAGCAAGTAATCAGCACTTCATATGCATTTCACTAACTTTCAATTCAAAGCGTAAAAATCCCTAGTCATTCGCCTCACTGAAGGTGCAACGGTTGCCTCTTGTAGAGGACCGGCCTTCTGGCATGTATCTCCCTTCTCGAGTAGCGTTGATGCGGCGACATTAGGGTGTACCGCGGATGGCACGCACGAGCAACTCGGCATGGGCCATAGAACTTCGACAAGACGATAGGCCATTTCTGCATGGGCCCGAGGGCAGCCCCTTTTGCGACCAACACTTCGTCGCCCACATTGAAAGTCGCTTTGCGACCGTCTGATAATGTGGTTGCAGCTCTGCACCCGATTATTCTTGTTGCCCGCATCTCCCTGGCTTGCAGGAGTTCCATTCTCAGGTGGCGGATCTCGGAGACTCCGAAGAGAGGCTCCTGGTCTCCAGGCGCCATCCTGGGCAACACCCCATAAAGCAGCTCGAACGGGGACAATCCCACCGCCATCCTCCTGCGACGGTATCCATACAGGACTTGACGTAAAGCATCGTCCCACTCAACAACTGTAGGCGAGGCACCGAGAATCATCTTACGGACTGCTCTCTTCAATGTGCCGACCATCCGCTCTGCCCGTCCGTTCGACATAGGCGCATAGGCGAGCACTGTCTTCCACTTAATCCCGTTTCGTGCCATGAAGGCATTCAGGACCGACGCTGTGAAACAAGTAGCGTTGTCCGAGACAACGACACGTGGTAACCCAAAACAGTGGATTATCTCTTCTTTCACGAACTTCAGCACTTCCTCTGCCGTCGAGGTGACGGTGGCCTTCGCAATTGGCCAGCCAGTCAGGTGCTCCACGGCAATAAGGATGTACCTCCCTCCAGAGGGCGTACGAGGCAATGGTCCCGCAAAATCGATAGAGTATGTATCAAATAACGAAGTCATGGGAAATCGAATGGTGGTCTTGTACTTCGGAATTGGTGTGGCTTTCTGACAACCGTCACAACCCCGAACGTAGTCGTTCACGTCTCGGTGGACGGCAGACCACCAATATCGGTCCAAGACGAATCTCTTCGTCGTTTGCAGATCCCAATGGCCTATTTCGTCGTGAAAGGCTCTAACGATCCTTCTGCGAGCCCCTATAGGCGGGATAGCGCGTAATCCATTGTTGGTCCTACGGAACAGTTGTCCATTACAAGCCATGAAACGTTTGGCGCTTCGGCGGTTGAGCCGACGTCGACGAACATCCACTTCCCTCATATCAATACCCCCGAGGTGCCTTGAAATGTCAATAAGATGGGGTTCCCGCTCCATTTGCGCCTCTAGAGGATCCGAAACACTGCAGACAAGATCTCCCTCGTCGTCAGAGTCGACTCCATCCTCGCCCTTGGCTTTCAGGCGGGACAGGAAGTCAGCTGCACCGTTCTTTCCTCCTGGGCGGTACTTAATTTCGAATTCGTATTCTGCTAGGAAGTCCATCCACCTTGCCAACCTCCCGTGAATGTCTTTCTTCTTAAAGGCATACTGCAGGGCTGGGTGGTCTGTTATTAGCGTGAACTTCTGTGTTGAAAGCAGGTAAACTCGGAACTTCTTCAAAGCGAAGATCACAGCCAGGGCCTCTCTCTCACAGGCGGAATACTTCCTCTCGGCTGACGTCATCGGGCGACTTGCGTACTGGATCGGATGAACTTTCCTGTCCTCTTTTCGTTGGGCCATAACAGCTCCGACGGCGACCGAGGATGCATCAGTCTCCACGACAAAAGGTTGTTCGAAGTCCGGAAACGCCAAGACTGGCGGGAGGTTAACTTGAGCTTAAGCTTCTCGAATGCCTCCTGCATCTCCGCCGTCCACTTAAAAGTCCGTTTAGTAGACGTGGCCTCATGTAACGGAGCAGAGATCTCGGCGAACTTAGGAATGAAGCGGCGGTAGTATCCCGCCAGACCAAGGAAGCTACGAAGCCCTGTCGTATTGGACGGCTCCTTCTCCCTCTTAATGGCGCTGACCTTTTCGGGGTCCACTTTGACGCCATCTTCGGTGACTATGTGTCCAAGCAGTCGCGTTTGGGACTGTGCGAAGCTGCATTTTGAGATTTTAAGCTTCAGCCCGCTCGTAACAATCACCTTGCAGACTTCACGTAAGTGTGAAGTGTGCTCTTCAACGGACTTCGAGAAGACGACTACGTCGTCTAAGTAAACTCTCACGAAGCTAAGCCTTTGGAAAAGCTGGTCCATCATCCTTTGGAATGTAGAGAGGGCGTTCATTAACCCGAACGGCATCACCTCGAACTGAAACGTCCCAAAACGGCAGACGAAAGTCGTCT